GTGAAACTTCATATTTTCCGAGATATTCAGATCCAATATTTTTGTCTCACCCTGTATATCTACCATTGCATTTTCGTTCAGTATTTAAAATAAAATTAAACTTGTCACTCAAACAATTGATACACACTAATATGTGTATCAGAATGTTTCTAATAATATTTAGTTCTTAACTGTAAAAAAGATTAATTGATAAAAAGATTGATGAAAAGATTGATTAATGAATTTTTTGTGTAAATCTTTCAAATTCCTTCACGATACATTTAAGGCCGCAGCACAAACTTTTGCATAACACATAACGCGTAGTGCATAAGCGAATCAACAAATCAGAATCCTTCCTTTTCTCCCACTTCGGAAAAGAAGCATTTTGATTGCTCATTCTCTTATACATTATTATTTTATGCAAAAGTCTGTGCTGCGGCCATTACATTTGCATACTGATTAGTAGTAGAAGTATTGCTAACGATATTTATCAATATTTATGATATATAGATAACTAAATTATCGATAATATCGATTAGATATCCATAAATAAATTCAATAAACAAAAAAATAAATTCTATGTAAATATGATGATATAATAAAGAAATGCCAATGTGAGCTAACACTAGTTATTATTAAAGAAAATATGTATATAATCGCTGAATCCTCATCATCCTTAACCTATTGTCATTAATTAAAATGTCTGTTTTGAGTGCTAATAAAGATAAAAATTAAAAATAATTTGAAAGAAAAGTTTAATTAATCTTCAGTTCTTCAAATAAGGTTAATCATATGTTCTATTAAAGTTAACTACATGTACCAAAAATTGTTCGTATTTTTCCAATAAAAAAAAATATTATTTAGTTATTTGTTATTTAACTTTTTACACATATTTTATATATATTTTTAGTTTATGATATCATAACTATTCTTATTTTCAGTATAATAAAAATATATAATGTAGGCAGAGTGTTTTATTCTTTAACACAAACTTTTTCTAACTGTGTATTAAAATTATTTTTCTCAACATTGGTAACAAATCAAGTGAAACTATTAAAAACGTATAAATACATTGATTTGAAATTATCGACGTCTTAACAATATTATCGATAAATTTAAATTAATCGATAAATTATTGATAACTTATCAATAATTGACAATAGCATCTCTATTGATTAGGTGCTCAATTTCCATCGTGGAAACATTTACTGGAAACATTCCTGTATCTTTAAGAAAACTTTACAAGCAGAAAAGGCGTGTACTAGTCACGTGTGTTACATTTTAAATAGATGATTTATTGATCGTAACGCGATTAAAAAATTTACAAACTCGACTTGTTTGTTACATTCAATATCGTATCAAAGTATAATACATTTGTGTTTTACATTTATATAATCTGTTTAATTATTTTATGAAATCATAATATTATTTTTTCTCAATAATTGCATTATACAAATAAATTACATTGACTAGCAACAATCTTTACAAATTTAAGTTGTAATTAATTCAAATTTTTTTATGCAAATAAATCTTTCTTTTTACAGTGTCATAACTGTATGCATAATTATATATAATAAAATATTGCTGTTATACACATAAGATTTAAGGAACGGGGAATAATTTAAAAATTGGAATATTGAAAAATATATATTTATTCTTAATTCTCCCCCGTAAGTAAATAACAATGACAACAACATTTCTAACCACACTAATCTTTTCATTTTATCATAACATGTGTTTTACAGATTCGTAAAGATTACGATCTCAGTAATTTTCACATTTTCATTCTGAATAGCAATGCTGTAGTTTAATAGGAATTCGTTTCGCTTCACATCAAAATTGAACGTCTTGGATCCTGCGAAACACGCCACAACACGGCGCGCATTTATGATGTACATGCGCTCATCAAAGGATTCTTATACTTATCCAATCATTTTCACTTTGACGGCTACTTATCGGTTATCGCGGAAAGTTTATTGACCGCGAGAAAGTTTTGCGTTACGCCGAATGCGTACTTCTCCTCGCACCTTTGGCGTAATTATGTGCGAGTTTTCATCAATCATGATTGCGACGAAGACGTCTGTTGCGCCGCAGTCCAGGTGAAGCAGCGTTAAGAGAATAATTTTTAATTCTAGATTATTAACAGCTGTTATCGGCAATTCTGTAATACTTCCGTGTAATTATTTGATAATATCTTACAATATTTATTACAAAATTTATAAATAACATTTATGCCTGTATCTGTATGGCATTATTACATTAAAACTTATTTTACAATTTGTAGTATAAAGCAAATTTTTATTTACGTCTAGGATGATCATAATAATATATAGCAATAATTCGTTGTTATAATTGTATTTGTGTTATTTGACGATATTCGAGCTTCAGATTTAAGTTCATTCACGCAAAGCGATTGCAATGCAGAAAATAACACCGTAATAAAGCATTTGTCATAATTGCGCTCCATATTCTCGAACTTTCACCACGTGAAGAATCAGTCATTTACTGATGGCACATAATAACAAGTCAATCGCGTTCACTTAGGAAAGACTTTAATTTCTTGCCTAGGATCAAATTATAGAAATATTTTTATGTGTTGATATTATGAACGAGTGAATGGAAACCTGTGCTAATTAAAATGCGCATTAAAATTGAGATCATGCGTTGTTTTCGCGAGCGACGCGACGTGTGATTGCAGAAAAAAAGGAATCCAATTCCAGTTTTCGTTGCAAATTCAAACAGCTTTATGATTCACGATTGCATTGCAAATAAATCAACTAAAGCGACAGAGCATAACACAATCTCAGATCATGGTAGAGCAAAATAGAACAATTCACGGAAGTACAATACTGTGGGGCAGTAGGACATTCCTTTCGTCATAGAAATGTTCTATTTTCTCGCACGAGAGAATAGATAAACCGTCAATAAAAAAAAAAATTTTTGTTCACATATCTCATTAACAAATTTCACATTATATTTATTTGCTAATTATGATATTTTATTACATGATATATAATTATATACTATTACATGATATTAATACGTGATACTTATATAATGCTTATAATTAGACATTTCAAATTTATCGCTGCTAATTTATAGCACAATAAATGTTTATTTATTCATTTAGCTTTATTTATATACGTCAGTTTAATTATAAGATGATATACTTTAGAAAAATGAATTATGATATATTTAACATAAAAAACGATGGAAAATTCTACTGCACTCTATACATTGCGCAATACTGATCCGACTGGTTCCTGAACTGATTATCAAACAAAAATTGAGGTGACAGTCTAAGATTTTTTCGATAAGAGACAGGTTACGACAAGGAGCGATAAGTATTCTCGAAAACGCTCACTGACGTCAACTCAGGACCGCTCAGACTAGTTTTATTCCAGTCGCAAGAATTGAAAATGCAGAATTGTTGAAAAATTAATATATGCCAATCCTATTTTATAGATCATACAATTTAACAACAAAGTAGAACTTAGATTTATTGATTTCACATGCATTAATTCCAGTAAACCAGTAATCGTGACATTTAATTCGATTTTAATTTAATTAAAAATACGAAATCCAACAATCTCTATAGTGAGAGGAATAGTTTGATTAGTGGTAATAATACCGCGATTAGAAACGTTTCAATTGATGGTGAATTAATCTTTGTAAGTTAAACGAACAAATAACAATTCTGAATTATTCCTTATTATCAATTTAGTCCGTATATATTAATTTATTTCTTATGTCAATTTATATTTTACAAAAATAGTAAAAAGCAATGACTTTAGGCTTTCTTTGCCATGCTAAGACTTATAATATTGCTCGATTAATTGGTTACGAGAAGAGAAAATATTGAAGTAATCCGCGTCATTAAAATAAAATGAAGAAAGGAAATAAAAAGAAAGGCTTGAGATGAAAGACTTTCTTCATATGGCTTTCTTCACATATTTAAAATAAATAATAGAATAGAAATTAATCCACGATAAATCATTCGGAAATATTCACAGGAAGTTGCGCGATAATTTTACGTATTAGAACGTCTATTCATAAATGCTTATGAATAGAGCAATCGTTCAATGCAAAACCCACAGTAACATTTGAAAGAAGGAATATAATCCAGCACCAGCAGCAAGGAATTATTCTTTACAGTTAGGTGTAGTGGGATCAAGCAAAGAGGAGATAAGAAATCCTTCTCTTGGTGGGAGATGATAAAGTCATTTCGCAGAGAGGAAAGAGAGGTGCCACCTCGCGGCGGCGGCGACTTCTCTCTTCCATCTACTTGTTCGAGAGGAGACTTCCTCTTGCATCTTGGGAGAGAGAACTAACGGGGAATGCACAGATGTACACCTGAAGAAAAAGAACTCGATCCCGTGCACGCTTTCTAGGTCGCGCTTACTTTTCAAAGAGGCGCGCGTCGTCTTCTCGTCGAATTAATAAGAAGTAAGCGACGATAAATGTCTACTTTTATGCCAATTATGCGCTGTTTCGGTAAAAATGTCATTTATTTGAATCAACAATAAAATTAGAATTTGTTTAAAATAAATAAAGGCAAAAAGATATCTGGCAAAGTAAATTTTTCCGTTAATTCTCGTTTAATATCTAGAAATTAATAAGGAAGAAACGCATTTCAGTTTCTAAGTTTTTCAAAAATTTCTATTCATACAACAATAACAAAATTCAACAATAACAAAAATTCTCAGAAAAGAACAAAAATAAAATAAACTAAAAAATTTTTTAGTAACCGAGAGGAGTTACGAAAAAGTTTCTCGAACATCGTCATTCAAGGACAATATCGAACTGTAAGTGTCTTTAATAAAATAAATGTCTACAATAAAATAAAATAAATAAATAAATCCTCTGCGAGGATTAATTAGCGTCGATTCATCCATACGATGAAAAGGTAAATCGGAACGCAGCGGGAAAAGCTGCAGGATTAGTCGGGAGTAGGACAATAGCGAGGAAAGGCAAAAGGATGGGATCTAAGAGAGGTTCTTCTCCGGTGAACAGTCGCAGAGTTGTATCCCTACCTCGAACGTCGAGAGGCGAGAGCAGGTGGGCTCTCGACGATCTGCTCGAGAGCAGCGAGAGAGTCCCGGTCTGCCGCCTCCTGCGCTCGCACCGGTGGCACGCACCGGCCTCCGAGAGAGAGACTCACGCGAGTTCGTTGGCCGACCGTCACCCGCGCGCCCGTTTTCCCGATCGCTCTCGCGTTACTGTTCTCCATCTGGGCGGACACCAGATTCTGGAGGCTGAGTCGAAAAAGGGCACCTGGACCTGAACTGGTGCGGGTGCGGTATAACTCGCCCCGTTCTCTTCCCCTCCTGTCGACCACCAGAGGAGAACTCCACACTGCATGGGCATCATGGGTTCCAGTCGAGAAATCGACCCGCGTCACCCAACCTGCCGGCAGGTGCTAACTCGCGCGTGACTCCGGTGTTAGCTTGGAATCATAGTCGCGCGCCCGCTCGCGCTGACCGGACGTGTTCGCCGAGCTGGTAAGAGTCAGTGGGAAATTGTATATCACGTGATTGTAAAAATTCCGAGGAATTCTTCCGTTTTATCGCTTCACTACTGAAAATACCGGAAGATCATATCTGGAGATTTATCCAAAATCGAAGACCTTCTTTACGGACCTGTCTTAACGTTTAAATCTGCAAGACGCCCCGTTTTATAGAGTGCGAAGATAAGAAGTGACCAAAAATACCTGGGAAAGTTTTGAATATACTTCGGAGGGATCAATTTTGATATTTGTGATATTTCGAAAAATTTTGGGTATTCGTTTAAAGCGAGAAGGATAAGAAATAGCCATACATGTTTAAAAAAAAATTAGACACCTGGTTCAAACCAGTTTTAAGAATACTAAATTTTTCGCTTGAAAATTAAGAAAGGTTTAGAGTGGCGGGAAAATTTCTGAGGGCAATTTTGAAGATTCTGAGACTCCTGTGGACTCGTCTAAAGTGCAAGATCAGCCGTTCGATCGACGCGGAGTAGAAGTACCGTTGTCTCTGGTCGTTCTGAGGACTCGCGGATGAACGGCCTTGACGGCGCAAGCCTCGGCGCGAGTCTCGGCCTGGTCCGAACTAGGACAGCGAAGCGTGTGCTCCAATAGATGGACGGAAAGATCGAGCGAGATTCTCGTTTCCTTCTGGAAACGAACAGAAAGAACTTCCTTGAACGGACCTGAGGCTTTTGGTTTTTTTGAGGCGTTACGCAGCAGCGACAAAATCCGGTTTTGCATGGGTGTATATGTAAGTGAACCGTAATCCACAAGTACCGTTAATGTCGCGGATTCTACTCCCGCGTTCTCAAGAGGCAAGTTTAGCGCTCTCAGTTCTCTTTGCAGTCCGATATATGACTTTTAGACAATGCATCAGTCATTTACATTAATAGTTAAAAAATAGTAAACTATAAAGTTTTGCATAAAATGTTTGTCATTCTTTTTTACACTGAATGCATATTAGAAATTCGATTGACAAATTTAAAAAAAAAATAATAATTCGAAGTTGAAAACTTAAGGGTCGATTCCACGTTGACGTCGAATCACCTTTTGACGATGACTTGAAAGTTAGTAAAATCGGTTAGCTGTAACGGAGAACCGCGGTTTCTATCGTACGATCCGGTTTTGCGGGCAAATCAAATAGCTGCTACTTTTCACTCGTAATGAGCGACATAAACGTTCATGCGTATAATAGAAAAATACACTTACGTACGTATTTCCGTGTCGAAGATCGAGGTAAAAGATTGTAGAATCGATATCCAAAATATTTATTGGCCGCGGTATGACTCTGTTGGCTTCTTCTCGGATAATAATTTAATCCTACATCATTGACACACTTATTCTCTCATAAATTCTGCCTAGCATATGGCAGTTTCCAATTTTTGTAATAACAACGTAGAGAGCGTCACATATTAATATAGCTCGAAGTATCACATTCAATAGATTTAACGCAAAACGTGCGGCGATGGAAATAAAAATGGACGTAAAAATGGTTTTGCTGAAGTAACTAAAAATTTAGTTAGATATATATCCGAAAAATAATTTTGTTGAATTATCAAAATAATTACGTAAATATCATTCAAATTGGTTCCTAGAATGTCAAAACTTTTTTCAGCATTCTTATCATGCTTAAGTTTCTTACATAATCATTTTGATAGTTCAATAAAATTATTTTAGCTATCTAAGTTAAATAATTAGATACTTCAGCAAAATTGTTCTTTCCACGTATGAGATGTAAAATGAGCATTATATACTTTTTCTATGAATTTACTTTTTCTATGAATAATTAAACATAAAATTAATTTTTGTTTCCTATATTTGTTAATATAGATATTTTTATAATATGAATTTTATTTGTGGTTTCGCAATTACGTTCGATCGATTGGCACTACTTATATGATTCGTCGTGAATGGAACACAGCAATATCGCAAATCGCATTGGCGAGTCGCATAAGTCGACCTTGCGCGGGTCAGTTCACGCATAAAACTCAGATCTTTTTCTGCGTGTCACCTTGAACATCAACCGTCCGCGAATGCGCTTATGAAGATAAGAAAAACGTTACGATGCAGCGGTTCATGGCCGATAACGAGACGAGGTTAAAACGATTTTAAATCGCGTTATCTACTACAATAGAAATATCGTGACGTCAAGCGCGAATAAAAATATCGGAATTCATAAAATATAACGCATAGGAGTGATTTCTTAAATAACTTTAAAAATATTTAATATTTTTAAAGTTATTTAAAAATATTTAAATAACTTCTGCGGAAGTTATTTAAATATTTTTATTAAGTCTAAACTTAGTCGGGCACTTTACTATTTTATATAAATTTTCACATCTCTTATTACTTTTATCCTACTTTTAGTTTGCCTTAAAAAATGACGATTCATTAATTAGTTTTATTATTTTATTAGTTTTTATTATTTTATTAAATTTTATTTTTCTATTTGCAAAAGTTATCTTTTTTCAGATATTTTTGAGTTATTTTCGAACAATCAATTTTCAACAGTTTTTTCCTATTGATTTTGATAGTAATAAAATTAATAAAAGTTAAAATCTACATTAAATTTATTTTCAAGTGAAATTAGAAGAAGGAAGTTTTTGTCGACTTTCTCGAGACCGGTACATTTGACTTGATGCGTGTTTAAAATCACCGATCCGACAATAAAAATGTAACGTCTATAAACCCGCGGCTTTCTAATGTTTGCTCACACGAATTCGCTCACTTCGATTTACGATAAAAATGTGCGAAATAGCGGGAGGAAGCTGCTTTGTTAGTCGGAAGCAAGATGCGTCGAACGTTACTCGTAATTACGATGGGCAATGAACCGATTATTAAAACAGTACGTTACCAGCAATTTCATCGACAATTTGATCGGCTCAGAAGAGATCCTCGCGTGATCACACATCAACGAGGAGTTCATTCCTATAATTACCACTTCGTTAAAAACTACAGACGCCACTTATAAGGCTAAGTTCCATTAAATAAAAATGCGAATGTAAGTTCGCCTGTCGCACCATGTAGATTCATTTTTTCTTCTTCGCTTTTCGGCCTTCACCCGGTTGAGCGGAAAGCGTGTCGTTGACGCGTATCGCAACGGGATACACGTTGCGGGGAAAGGATTTGCGTGGACGGGCATTTTTTCCGGGGTGGTGCCCATTCACGGACCAGTGACATCGCACTGTCGCAGCTATTTGTCATTTCTCTCTACATCACGATACATTTTCATACCTTCGCAAAAATCCGAGATGCCACCCGGACTCACGCAATACCCTGATCAAGAAGTCAATAAGAATGCAGCAGACTATGAAATCACAGTTGCGTTTTCTCCTGTCAATTTTGACGAGAATAACATAAAATGTGTACATTTTTCCCTCGAATAAGAAAATGTAGATTAAGAAAAAAGGTTTTTTTAAAAGAAAAAAAATGTGATCAATTTATAAGTACAAGTTGACGATTGATAAGATAGTGATTGTGAGAGGTTGTATTTAGACACGAGGACGGTACGGAGAGAGATCTTGGCGCGAATTTCTCCTTTCGACCGGCACAGAAATTAGAATACGTGTAGCCATCATTTGAATATCACTTTCCCGCGTGGCTGGACCGATGCAAAATTTGTCACTTTTATTGCTGTACAGAAACTATATCTCTTACACGATCGCGAGCCTTCTTTCGCTTCCTTCTTTCATCACGCGACCCAATTACGCCACAGGCTAAGCACATCGCGTACGAATTTGCATAACAACGTCGGTACGACATACAAGTATATTTCCGCAACGTTAAGACACTTGGTAGAGCAAGAACTAATCTGTTGATCACTCATCTATTTTTGAGAGAGAGAGAGAGAGAGAGAGAGAAACATTTCATAATATAAACTTCATAACATGACTTTTAAATGAATTTTATTTAAATATTTACATTTTTAATTGTTAAATGATAATTAATAAATTGTTTAAATATTAATTAATAATTGAACAAACAGCAATTAAATAGCTAAATAAAGATTCGTATGAACTTATCTATAAATCTATGATGATTCTACATTTATCGAATGACGACAAATAAATAAATTTTCTTTATTTCATACAAGAGGATATTTGAAAACGTGTCCTAGAAAAGAACTCTTTTTTGGTTGAATATAACATTTCGTCAACTTAATCAGACACTTGAGTCGTATTGATACGCGGTTTCACTTCGATAAAACGAGAGCGGGTGGCCGTACGTGGAATTATATGGAAAGAGAGTTACAAACCCGGTAGTTTACGGTACATAGTCTAATCAGCGAGTCAGCGGGTTACTGGTCTATAAAACGTAAAATAATTCGTTCTGCAGTTTACAGGACTACATATAAGTAGTATATAAATTCACATAGAAATACACAAGCATAAAATACAAATAGACCGTTAAAAGGCATTTATCTATTTATTGATAAAATAATCCAGTTTTTCGACTGGCAACAGTTGAGAGTTAAAACTGCTCCAGCTGGAGTCCTGCAAAAAACTGTATCACGTTTCGGATCATAAAATTATAAATCCAATTTACTTTTTCTCTGTCGATCAAGTGATCGATAAGATGATATCGACATCCGCCATTGTAAATTATTAATAAATTTATTTTTGAACGGATTAATGCGGAACAATATTTATCGACGCTGCGCGTAACCGCCAATTAATTACGCTTTCTTTTTACAATCTCTCCGTATCACTTAATTTCAATCATAATCATTATTCGTTGTTGAATTAATTGTTTATTATTGGAAGTAAAAATAAAATTTAAAAAATCAAAGGCTGAACCGATTAAAAATAAGAAATAAAACGAAAGAGCATACGCGATAAAAATTTATTATTTAAAGTATTATTATTTGAAGCTTTATAAAAACTCATAAAAATAATCTGTTCGGTTCGCTCGTCTTGTATTTTCATTTTTAATATGTTTATATTAATTCAAGATAAAATCATTGTTTCTTGGAATTAAACAAAGATAAATGATAATGATTTCATATTTTTCACTTTTCTCAACTTTCTTCTCCCAAGTTTTATTAATTATTTATTTCATATTCGCTCGATAAAGAAAGAAAGAAATTCCTTCTCTTGACCTTCTTGGTAAAAATTATACTCGACGTAAAAATTATATGGAAACGTTAATCGCAACTTGCACGCTTCCACTTTCCTCCGCCTTATTACGAATCGCTTACATATGCAAGGTTACATATCTAAATAACCGCATCCTCCCGCAACAATAGTAGTATTCTTGCGACGTTCGCCGAATCATCGACGTTTTTCTCCTTCTTCAACGGAATGAACTTTTCCGGTGAACGCGAACGAGGTCAATCCCAGACTGCGCAACCGTGGGTAATCGCTATTAAGCAACGGGGATTATCGCAAGATACCACGAACACGGTATTCGACAAATGTAATCGATTGTGATACGTCGAAGAAACAAATTAGAAAGAGACAGAGAGAAATGAGGGAGAGAGAGAGAGAAATAGAGAAAGGAGGTAGGTGCTTCAGTTGCTCAGCTCGCTCAATAAGGAAGAGGTAATCGTTTCCGGACAGATTTCATGGCTAGAATCAGGATCATTCCGATCTAATAGATATACGAATAAAAGCTAATTACCGGCAAACATTTCTAATCGCTCTTCGTTTGTTCCGACGTGCAGCAGGAAACTGGCAAGCCTCCTCCTCCTAATGTCACCCCGAAGATGGCCAGGGATCGCGCCGGGTCGGACTACTCAGGCCACATGAGCGATACCACCACGTGCAGCTGCGTCGCGAGCTCTATCGACAAGGTAAGGACTTCATTACAACTACAATTGGCTATCAAATATCAAGTAAGGAGATAAATGTACGAGAGTCTTAAATTAAAAAAGAAAGGCGTCATAGATACCATCAAAAATTTCGTAACTGCATAGCTTTAGCTTCTCTTTTTTTAAAATGCTAACAAGATTTGCTTTTGGATTACATGAAGAAGATTTAAGAGATTTTGACTGTTTTTGTCTTGTCTATTTTTATCCTTGAAAATTTATTGGAAAATATACATATACTCGATATTGTAAAATAGTATCATAAAGTTATCCCATAAAATTCCGTAAATAAAAATTATCGAAAATTACACTGCGAGCTCAAGTGTAACAAGTGCCTTCATAAATGATTTAGCTTTCTATGTTAAAAGAATAACACTATATTACATAAAGAAAATGCAAGATTTAAACATTGAAAAATGTAGTATACCTAATGTAATTTTTACACAGAAATGATAAAATTCAGCAGAATATACTGCAAATCCAAGTGTGTGATAAAGCACTTATTTATCTATCGTACATTTGGATTTGTAGTATATCTCCTACTGAAATTTAATAATTTTAAAATTTTTACAACTTCTTTCTTTTTCATCTCATGTATTTAAGACGTCAAACGTCTAAAAACACGTTGCAGTGCTCGTTGCGCGGCTGCGGCATGTTCCAAGAGCCGTTCTTCCTGCATCCGCCGGGCTCTCGACCGCGGGACGGTATCTACATAAATCCTATGAGTGCATACATCGGCGAACCGCCTAAGCCTAAGGACACAGCCGAGTCCTTCTACCTGCACAGCCCGCATGATCTTGTCTACACAAGGATCACGCGGCTGTTTGGCGACGGCGAGAAGTCGCGAAACGGCGTCGCGGCGGAGCAGCGCCATATGCCGGAGAGGAAAGACGAGACTCTGACTGGTAAGTAGCACGTCCCAGATACTTCATCGTTATATTATAACGCCCGCTACACACGGTGTCCAAAAAATATCCCGCTGGTAATCAAGTCAAAAGTGAAGAGGCTTTAATCGAATTGTAGCGATTATTCGAATCTCTATAAGTTATTAAAATATTATTAATTCATAAAAGGAACAAATGTTGATCACCTTGATAGAATTTTATATAGAATAGAATTTTATAATTCAACGCTTGGCTATTTGGAATATTAAATACGAAAGTTTAAAGATATAAGAAAAATGCCATAGGAAAATTCAAATTTAAGAAAATATTCCGTCATTAAATTATTCGTGGATGAGATAAATCAAAGTAATAATTCTGTAACACCCTGTTTATCGACGACCTCGATTTACATCAGACATTCGGTATCGTCGGTCTTTTCTGTTTCTTTTTCGCTCTTTCTAACGATCTTTACAGTCTTATAGATCGAACAAATGAAAAACTATCTCCATTTCATATATTATTAATTTACGTGTCAATTGGACGTATCAAATTTCTAAAAAAAATTAAAATATATATTTCCGTCAAACATTAATTAATAATTAAATATAAAAATCGCACGTAAATCGACATCTTGTGGGACATGCTATATACGACGACGTAATTGTCTTTCTCATACGTTTTACTTTGGAAGTATTTACTTTGATCATCTGTTTTACGAGTAACATGTTACTAGTACGCGATAGAATGCTGCAAGACTGATCTCAAAGAAACAGCGATACTTCGGTAATTGTTAGAGGAGCGAAAAAAACCACGCACGTCGCAAACAACACGCGCGCTTCGCGAAACCGGGTTAAAGACTCGCGCGCGATTTACCGCAAATACCGTTAAGCCGTTACAGTGCAGCGGCTCTTAATGAGTAAGAGCAATAAAAACTGCGAATCGGCGAATTGAGCGAGTTCCAGCAAAACGCGTAAAAGTCGCGTCAATGCTGAATGAAAATAAACAAATAAGAATTAAAATAAAAAAATTAATAAATTTTTAATTTTATTATTTTTAATTAAAAAAAAATTTGATTCCAATTGTTATGGAGATTATAAATTTCTACAAAGCAATCGACCGCCGTAAGCAGCCTTTGCGATTCGTAAATTTAAGCTTTGCGCCGTTAAAGTAATTTCTGAAGAACTTCTCGAGCGTGAAAGGCAGTTTTCGCGTAGAAGGCAGTTTTCTCGTCTGCGATGCGTAATATTCCGAGCGAGGCTCTTTGGCTTTCAGTGAAAGTGGACGTGCACATCAACAACGGCGGATTCGTCGGCCGGCCGCATCCCGGCAACGGACATGCGGCGCGCTCCGAGATCGCGAGGGAGTCCTCGGATCATGCTTACGAGCAGATCTGCGTGAGGCAGGAAGAAACGAGCAGCGTGAGCTCGTCATCGCGGAAAAAGCCAGTGGACAATACCTCCGACAGCAGGTAATACAATTCGAGTACAGTTTACCGCGAACAAAGTAAAAAATTAGAGTTATACAGCCCAAAGCATCTGACTCATGTCCATTTTTACCAATGTAGATTAATTTTAATCTCGATTTAATTTAGTCTTTACTTTTCTCTTCATTCTTCAGAACTGGGGCAAGAGATAAAAAATAAGTTGAACTCAGATTAAATTTAATCTATATTAGTACAAATGGACATTTCTTTTTATGTTAAAAATTGATAGAATTAATTTAAATTTGATTCTCTCAATTATAAAAATCAATTTCCTCCCCTCCCCCAAGTTCAAAAAAAATTATTGCTCTAAAGCTTTAAATTGAATTAATCAACACATTAGAGTAATATAAAAATAACATAAAAGTAGTGGATAGTATAAAAGGAGTTTTTAAAGTAAAACGTCTAATAACATAAAAATTCTTTCTCTATCTTTTTTTTAGAAAAAGGTATAATTCATGTATTATCGGATATTTGATTTTATAGTTGTTATATATTAAAATTTATCTGATGAGTATCGTTGACTCGATAAATATTATTGAAATCGTTCTCGCGATACCACGAATCACGTGTCAAGAAAAGAACTTTGATGAGCGCAGCACAACAAAATATCAGACACTGTAAAAAACGATCACGAAGGTAAGCAATTTCGATATATCAACATCTAGAACAGTGTATAACCATCTTGCAATCGAAATTGGCTCTATATAATCATTAAGAAATGATCGTTCATGAACATCACGTTTGGAAAACAACATCGTTTTGCTATTTTTTTTACTCGTTTATCTTGTAGATACGCGATCACGCGGCAGGTATTTCATTACAAGTAGATTAAATTTAATTCTCCGATTCGTGGATCCGCGAAACATCGATAGACTGTCTCTGACGTTTCAGTCGTTCTCGAAAAATCGACAGGCGATACAGCCGATCCAGCAGCGCCAGCGAATCCTCGAACATGAGCAGCGAGGTCCATGGCCTCTCCTCGACGACGTCCACCCCGTCCTTGTCACGACACAGTAGCAGCGAACGGATTAGCAAATCGGGGATTAAAACAAACGCGGAAACGCTACACGGTACATTCAAATAACTGAAAATATCTGCAGGATGGCCACAGTGTCGGTGATTAAGCAGGAATGTATCGCGTATGCACAAATTATGGACTGTAACGATTAAAGTCATTATTAATGACTTTAAATAATTGGTGAAATCTTTTCAACTTTTACGTGCGAAATAAATCATCATACAAGAAGAAAAAAATCGTTTCAACGAGAGAATATATGCGTGTTATTTATAAAGAATAATGTAATTGTCTTTACAAATAACAATTATCTGAGACAAGAAACAAACAATGATCTTCCGTGTGCGTTCGTTTGCCTTTGCTATTATTACGTTCTAATTGTGATTGTAAATTCGTATTTGATGAATAACGGAGTTTGAAACAACTTGTCTTTATCAATCATCAAGTTAATATCATGCAAATCGACGCTGACAATTTTTTGCACAAAATGACAGAGCATTATAGCTATCCTGCAGAGTCTCAAATCAGTATGATGAACAGCTGCGATTGACCGGTTCGTGATTCTGTTTCGGTTCGCAGAGAGGAAGGACTCGTCCAGCGTGCAAGTGGAAAGTGAAAAGGAGATCCGTACAAATGGCAACGGCGGACCTAGGTAAGTAGGGCGAATCGATACCGGATCGAGATTTAAGCTAAAGTTGTGCCATTAAAAGAAGGAAGAAAGCTCGATCGAAAGTCGATCAAGCGGCGGAGTTGGTCGCTACTTCACGCGATTTGACTCGCTTCTCTCCTTTTCCATCTTTTGTCGTCCGTTTTCCTTTGAGGAATATCATACGAATGGGATACACCGTGTTGTAAAGATGAAAGATGGCCGTTTCCTTGAATCATTTCCGGTCGTTAAAACGTGAATAATTACGATAGCGGTTTAAATCTTACGACTTGCTCGAACTTGAGCGAGTGGACTGTTTTATCGGATTGATTAGCATTAACTCCAGAAACAGTGAAGACGTTAACCCCAGAAACACACTACGATAAATTCTAAGATACTCATAAAAAATCCTTGAATGGAGAAATTGCTTTCGAAATAAGATACACGCACCTCCATCAATTTTATTGCCTATAACTGTTTAACTTTCCACATGTTTTCGCTCGCCTTAATTTACTGTCATTGTTTGAAATTAGGTGCACGTATCTATTATTATAGCTGTTCTTTATGCTTCTTACCTTCACCAGTCTTCATAAAATTGAACGTTATCTAATCCCTTAATTATCTAACAGACGAGATTTTTATCGCTATTATTCATTTTTATCAGACGTTGCAATCGGTTACTACAATAACACTGCTTTCACTTATCTGTACGGAATAATAAAATTTACCTTCACCAATTTTCTGTAATTTTTCTCGTCGAAAGAATTACTTTTACTAGCATACACGATCCCGACAAATCATGAATTAAACTTTAGCATAAACTCAAATAACATATTCTTAATCAATATTATTTTCAACAATAACATTTTACAGCATTAATTTTTCAACATTTTTCTAACATTTATATTTCTATAGTATGTATATCAGTAATGCGCAATCTGTGACCCGCGGTTCCCGGATCATATCCGAAGATATTAAATCATATTTTCTATTTTATCCAAACGAAATAAACATTATACGACTCGCAAGATTTATTTCTAAAAATAGCCCTCTTAAAATGACCCTCAAAAAGCATCACCGTCTTATATTTCTCACACCATCAGATCGGAATCACACACAAACTTTTTATTCTCCAGTCTCTCGAAACCACCGCCACCGCCACCGCCACCGCCGCCGGATGACGACGTGGTAGTCGTCCTGGTGAACGCAAAGCTGAATGCAGATGCCGACAAAAAAGATGCGCGAGGAAACGGTCAAGACGGAAGGACCGAGTCCGGTGAGAAATTGCGTTCAACGCCCATTTCCTCTTCGATGTCCTTTCGCTCTTTTACGAAATTACCGCAAACGTGAAAGTTGCAACTCAACTTTGAGCAGAAATACGTGCACGCACGTTCGCTTGACATTTTCCGCGTGCATTCACTGTAAGAAATGCCTTCAATCCAAACAAATTGGACGCTTGTCTTCATCTGTAACAATTTCAGCTTCGAAAGATCTTGAATTGAAAAAAAAATTCGTTTCCAGCGAACGCTGCGAATAAACGCAGTGTCGCGTTCATATATTGAAATTATTAACGTCTTTTAAATTACTCCACATCGGATATATGAGAGGACATCCTCTTAATATACAGATAACCGTAACTTCACATTATTCGTAACAATCGCGAAAAGAGATCGCGTCGCGCATGAGCGGTTTTATTGTCGGTCGATGTTTTACGACTACCGGTCAACGCGAAGACCGTTGTACTCTCAATTACTTCCTCGATAGATTTTACTCAATCGATCTATCTTAAATGGCACTACTTACGGAACACCTCGTCAGATTCAGAGTTTGTCTACCTTCAACGTTTAATGCTTCCGTAATTTAATTATCTCCGCTATAATTAGTTGATTTTTGTTAAACCGAAAGATTAACTCTGAATTCGTTGTGGTTTCTACCGGGTTACCAGAAAATGCGATAACTTCGTTATATACACCGTCACATAATTTGCTGTTACCGTATTTTTATGATTTATATTACGCCGCGATAATTACCTCGGTGTTTTTTCGGATAATCGTGTTACGCTCGTGCGAATTGCGCTTACATTTTCGGGGCACGTGCCTGACTCTTCCATGCAAACATGAAGGCAATTAGTTGAATCGACTACGACGACTGGCAATTACAGTTGAAATCGGGCAAAATTTATTCACAGATGTTAATCAGCGCCACGGGTGTTTTAATTGGCCCGGTTCGCGATCGGATAAAGATACAGACAGGAGGGAAGAGGAGAGGCTTCCTCCCCATAGCGATCTCGATTTGGGCTGCACGCGCGTATACTTCAGCCTTTAATTAAACTGTTAGCGGATCATGTTCAGCGGAGGTGGCCTCACTTACTAGACCATAGCGCTCACCGGGCATATAATATACTTACCTAGATTTCACTTGCCCCTCGGTAATGACCGCCATCCAATACTGGAGCCTATAACGAGACCCTCTCCTTTCTGCTTACCTCTTTTACGTTATTCCACCTTCTCTATCTCCTCATCTATTTCCGTCTCTTTCGTTCTCTAACGCTGCTGGTCGGTCTCGGAACAGCGACCAACAAGTCCGACACATCATCCTCCGGCGAGCATCCGCAACAGCCGGAAGTGCCGGCTCCCGCCAGTGCGCCGGTGGACGTGGACGAAATTAAAGCGAGTCAGACATCCCACCTGGTAAACAGGCACATGGTACTGCCGTTCATACCGCCAAAGTTCGCCAACGCGGACTCCAACACCCTGCTCAAGCCATCCGAGTACCTGAAAAGTATTTGCAAGGTGTCATCTAAAAACAGCCTGTCGAAGGCGAGGTCAGTGATCTTTCCTTGTACACAACAGTGTCTATTTTTATCGGTTTCGTGATCCTTCGCGTCTACAGTATCTGTTTCGTGATTGTCAGTTGATCCTAGAAGTGGCGAACATTCTTCGTTGTTCGTTTAAAAATATCAATTTTAAAATTAAATTATTTAAATATGTGAAACATATTCCAAGTGTATTTTCAGAATATCTGGATAATGTCCTATCTAACTAAATAAACTAAATAAACTAGATAACAAAAGGCAAACATTGTTTTGTGTGCTTTATTTATTTAAATTATTTAGAAAGTGATAATTTAAAAAGTTGACTTCAAGTGTCTATTTATAGTGTTTGTAAGATTACTTAAACCACATGCACGCGCACCACTTTATATAGACATGTTACGTGCAATTTAAATAACGAAAAGTGGTTCTGTTATTTATCGTTATTCTTCGTTAACTTCTATGGCTATTATTTATCAATGCAATCTTCGCGCACTTAAAATAATATCGACAATCATCTTCGTAATGATTATCGCTAAAATTTACTTTACGATTGACATAACAGGTGCTCAGTTAAAGTCTTTCAGTTATGCACAGAAATGTTAACTCATGTGCAGTGCATTTGACTTTCCGATTATGCAGAAACGTGAGAAATCAATTTAATATGACTAAATTCTTCTTTGATTAGTGCTTTTCGTACGAAGAAATACGTATTTTATTTATAACAAAGCATTTTCCTTTTTTACTAAAGGAAAAAGCATTTCCTTTCGAAATAATACTTCAAATATTTACTAAAAATCATTTTCAAACAAATTAAAAAAATTAATGTATCCTGAAATATTGAAACAACTTTTTAATATATTTATTTTGATGTTTTTATATAATCTAACTTATCTAAAATATATTTATACAATATAACAGATACTAAACAAAATGAACGCAATGATTCTCTGATAGATAAAATACATTTTATACAGATAAACAAATTTATCTTCGAGCAGCGTCATTATTAAGTTTTCCGCTCACGTGACAATGCAAAAATCGTGCTCGCAGGTCAGTGGACAACTTGGACATCCAGAGCCGGAATACGGAGCAGGGTGAAGAGGAGGAGGAGGAGGAAGACGAAGAGGAGGGGGCGCAAAGGAGCAACGGGGAGACCAAAGGATCTCCTACGGGCCCCCCGCCGCCACCTCTGTCTCCCTTGCAGCAACGAACACGAGCAGGAAATCAGGTCCTGGGTGCCACCACCGCCGGTAACGAGACCGAAAGCTCCAAGAGCTCCCCGCAGCAACCCTTAGCCACAATCAGCATCCAGGACCTCACCAGTATCCAGCTACGACGGACTAGCACGAAGATGAACGCCACCAAGACATTCTCCGCTCCGCCTCCTCGCAGCGTGTCCATGACTAACGGTAAGTTAGTCCGCGACACACATGCACGTATAATTTAACGCTTTTGTCGCGAACTCGAGCGTAAGAATTCAGACTTCAATCTTACCCGAGAAGTTTATATAACAATGTTCTGTGTTATACAATATTAATGATCGTACATTTTCTCCCTAAAATCATTTTGTTACGTAGATACATAGGTATTACGCAAAATTTATGCAAGCGCATAACATCACTATAAAATTTATAAATATTCTAACACCACAGACCTTCAGGAGACGTCCTTAGGACGTCCATATGTCCTTTAACCGTTCTAAGGATGTCCCCAGAATGTATCCCGAATAAAGTGTGTTATTAGGGTAGAATCGCTGACAAATTCAAATAAAACTGTATCATTTTCGGAGCAGTCTCGGAGCCGTTCTTCGTGCAGAAGACAGACCTAATTGCCGAATTGAAGCGCACAAAGGATATACCCGGAATCAAAAAACTAAAGGTGGAGAGGGCGCAGGTCGAGAAGACTCAAGAGCAGAATCTCATGTCGGAAATTAGCAAAGCGTTCAACGTTACAAATTTTGTTGATCAAGTAAGAGCATTTTATTTTTTATTTCTTTTTAAAGTTCCTTACGGAAATCTGACACTGGCCAATTTAATACTGAAAGACAGTTAATTACTTACTTGGAGTAAAAACATCAAACAACTTGCTTTTGATATACTTGAAATTAGATTAGAGTGTGTACTCCTTTAAAGAAATAGATTCTGTAAAAGGCAATATAACAAAATGCAATACAATACATATGACAAAAAGACAATACAAAATGTAACAAAAATAAAAAATGTTTACTCTTTCTAATGTTCTATAAAATGTTTTTTTTCTTCTTTTGAGTACTTTTGCATAGTTTGAAATCCTGAATTATGGTACTTTTTTCAATAGATCCCCGAGAAGGACAGCTCAGGAAACGTAATACCAATCTGGAAGCGACAGATGCTAGCCCGAAAAGCTGCTGAACGTGCGAAAAAAGAGCTCGAGGAGCAAATAGCGCGAGAGAACGAGGAGAGGCGCCAGAAGGCGATTCCGCCATGGAAGCGACAGCTTCTCGCTAAGAAGGACAACGAGGAAAAGAGGTACGGAGATTAATGGATCTGTATCAATCAATCATCAGTGCAATTAAATGCTAATTCTTGGGCGATTGGAGAAAGCCATTAATTATAATGGATTTTGCACTAGTAGAGAATGTTTTAACTGCTCGTCACAAAATCGTACTTGAATTGTATTTTTCACAAGAGATTTATCTCGTGTTACTTTACGAGATTTAACTCCACATGTTTTCAACATACGCAGGCGAGAAGGGGTGGAGAAGCTAAGTGCTCCAATTATTACGAGTATTACAACTGCCTCTCGTTGCAATTGGCTTCAAGTTCCTACGTTTCATGTAAAATTACGCGATACATATAATATTATGCGTAATATTTTATGCGTGTATTAAAACATTGGCCTATCTAATTTGACAATTGATATTCGGCATTTCCAGATAGAAAGTTGTTATTCAGAATTTCAAATTTTCTTAAGTAAAGCAAAAGCGTAAAAATGTTGAAAACAAGAAAAGGAGAATCTTGTTTATTATGTTTTATATCTCTCGATATTTTGTCACGTATTCCTTTTTGCTATTCTATTTCCAATCGTTACAATATGATTTTATCGATTTTTTTATTCCTTAATTAACAAGATATTAAAATAAAAATTTTCACGTGTAAAAATTCAAGTATCATATTATCGATTTGATTACAGATTCATGAATCAGACGCAGGTATCCGCATCGACAAGCACCAAATTTGAGGCAACGTCGGCAAACCCGAAGAGGGACGCCTCGCCGGCGGCGACGCGGGCGTCGTGCGTCATCAAGAAGGAAGAAAAACCCGAGGTCGAGGAGAAACGGGACGATCCTGTCAAGGACGATTCTGATGATGGTCAGATTATACCCTGGCGAGCGCAATTAAGGAAGACTAACAGCAAACTTAATATCCTCGATTAATCACTACGAACTTGTCGAAAGAGACGCGCATGATGAAGTATCGCGTGTTTAATCGCGTGTAATTTAAACGCGTAGGATTATGTACCATGAAATCTTTCCGAAACTTAACAAAACTTACCAACACGGAAAAATGCGAGGAAGACATATCTCGCTAGTTAAGATAATAAACGAACGTATAAGATAATTATACGGAATTATAATATAATGCGAAGCGTATTGAATATTCTCTAAAAAGTAATATGTACTGATGCTCTAAAAAAGTAAAAAATATTTTTATATATTTCATAGGATGTCCTCGCAAACCTTCTTCGTAATTAACGTTGTATTATACATATGTATATATATATCTCTTATTTTTTGTTTTTACGGAAACTATCCTGGAGCAAATTTAATAGATATTTCAAGGTTGCAAGAATTCAGAAAAATAGGAAACTTGTCCGCTTTTCCTCAAATAAGAAGAGATAAGAAAAAACTCATGAGGATATAAAAACTGAAATATTGTTCATAAGAAGTATGGTAATTGTTGAACTGCACCATGAAAAAAACAACGCTGGAATTGCAAAAAATGTTAATTATCACGTATTTTGAAGTATATATATATATATAGTATTTTGCGATATATGTACATATAAATAAGTCCTATAATTCATTTGCATTGTAAAACTTGAGATAAGGCTATTCATTTGTCGATCAGTTTATTACTACGAAACTGAAGAAATGAAAAAATTGTGTTCTTCACTTCAATTTTATTGTTTCCGATTATATTTATTGAACTCAACGCCATTCAGAAATTGTTTACTTCTTCAAATCAGTTACTTCAACGGAAATTTTATTTAATCGCGGGTGTCCGAACAGACAGTTGATGATTCTAGGTCTAATTAATCGTGTCAAAGAGAGCATCAGCAGCGTGGTGAATATGCTTGATAACTTCCAATTACAGTCATTAGATCAGTGAATTAATGTTGACGTTGATTAATCACTACTACGTCATGATAATGTCTGGCGCGTTACAACGTATCGCTCGGACAACAGTTATCTTCCGCCGAGAGATTTATCTCTTTGTGAAATAACGGGGCAAGGAATGAACACGAGATATTTTCAGCGTGGAATTATACTAACCCCTTAACTGCGATATCACTCAATCCGAATCCACGATGTATTACTTAAGAAAAAATTGTATGTATATAACAATTGATATTTCTATATAATATTTGTATAATTAATAACATTTTGTGAAATTGTATATTATGACCAATTATTTTCTCACATATTACTTGAACAAAAATTCACGAAATCTGAAATATTAGATGTACAAATAAATAATCCGTTATTTTTTATAAAATTTAATATTTACTGTCAAAAACATACCGACATGATTCAATCATCCGGTTCAATAAAAAAGACTGACCTATATGTGCGTTAAATTCATCAAGCTATCTCTTTATTTCTTCGATGTTTCAAAATTTTGTGTCATACAAAGCATGCATCAATCAAAGGACAATCTGGAAGGAAGAGCTAAGGTACAGCATAAATGTAATAAGACTAGACTACGCATAATGTCATTATCAATTTTAAAAAATGTAAAGTGGCATCTACAATAAAATTTTAAGACGTAAAACTTAACCTTTAAACTCTAAGCCATAAGAAATTGACCAATTACAATCAAATGTGAAAAGAATATTTGACTATAATTGGTAAGTTTCTTACTTAGTGCTTAAAATAAAACTTAAGTTTTACGCCTTAAAATCTCATTATAGACGCCGCTTAAAATAGCTTAAATCATCTCTCTCTCTCTCTCTCTCTCTCTCTCTCTCTCTCTCTCTCTAAAATATCGAGTTAAAGAGAGATACTGATAGAATCGAAGAGAAATGCTGATATGTTCAATTTTTCTACGGAGCACGGACGTTAAGAGCCATGACATGCAGAAAAACGTAAGGCAGTAAAACGTAACCCAATCAGCGAATCGACCAATCGCAGTAAAGATAATAATGTAAGACAATAACATAAGTAACAAGTAAAAAATTATAATTTGTTTACGTCTTACGTTTTTGCCTGCAAGCTTTAAGATCAAGAAATACGAAGTCTATATCTATTACATCTTTAGAGTAGAAACAATAGACAATGAGAATTTGCTCGGCCTCATGGTAATAAACCGAGACGAATCAGATCATGTAGTAAATCTGATCAATATAAGCTTTGAGATAAACAGAACTGTTATCTATTGTTTTGTAAAGAAAGCGAAGACCTAACTAGCATGATAATAAAACAGTTTATTTGAAACAACAAACTCAACAACTATCTCAAAGCTTATATTGATTCGATTCACTCTGTGATTCGTTTCACTTCAGTCTATCCTAACGTCTTTAGATTTGTTCCGATTGATTAGTTGTGCAGCACACTTTATCTGACAAACAATTTAGAAACATCAAAGAAAGAAAGTGAATTGATGGATCAACGCAAGTAAAGACCAGTTTTTCTATCAAGTACGAATGTGTAATTTGCCTAAAAGATGGAAAAATGCATTAAAAAGTAATGAGAGTTAATTTTATAATTGTATATAAAACTATTCAATTTGTTACGATAAACAATATTAAATTAAAAAAAAAATAATTAATCACTTGTACATCCAATTGTAAGAAAAAAATAACTTCGATACATGCACGTAACAATAAAAAATTAATTTATAATTCATTTGTAAGATAAGTGGAAAAAGAAAACACTTGAAGATAAAAAAATGTCATATTTTGCACAAAAATAAAACACTACAGGGACTGAGATGCATATACAGGATCATATTATGCATCCGAAGATTAATTTTTCATTCTCCAAACGTCAAAACATATATTTTTTTTTATATTAAGAAAAAACGTTTCCTATAGATTCACCAATATCTGAACCCTTGAATTTCGCTTCCCAGCGGATAGTAGACATAAGGGTAGGAAAAATCATTCGATAGGGTACATCTTCCCATTCGTAAGAGGGTATTCATCTTCTCTTCGACGCGGCGAACAAAGCACGTCATTGTATATAACTACGCTTGTGACGTGCGTGGTCGTGCCCCTCTTTCTTCCTCTCTTCCCCTCTACCACCTCGTCCACCCTTCGCACGCAGTCTTCGTTACGACATCGAAGAACGTTACGACGGAACGAAGCGAAACGCGAAGCGGGAGAACGACACAGCCCGCGGAAGACGTCGGTGTGACAACGCTGACGGCGCTGACGCTATTGTCGAGCCTCTTCCTTGCCTTTCATCTTCCGAGCAGCCAGCGCCACAATTTAACTGAGATTTTTGGCAGCGTTTAGAGCAGAGCCACAGTTAAAGCGCGTCAACTGAACGAGGCAGTTGTGCTGTCCGCAAGGCGTTCGTAAAGCAAGCTTTTCCAAGATCTTCGGGGTTGAAAGTTTTTTCATGTGTCAAGTATCGTTCGAGTGATATGATGATTTACACGTGAAGAACTGCATTCAATTGAAAGAGATACCTAACTTGTGCAAACGTAATTTGAAAAAGATAAATTGAAGCTGATTTTCAAAAAGTGCACTGAAATTAAGAAAAAGAAAAACCGGTGAGGAGCGTTTGCAATCATCATTACATCTACCGGCGAAATGGCATCCAATCGTAGTATGCTAGGTAAGTGGCGATGGTTGACGAGACAAGAGATTAAACGAATAAAAATAATCTGTTCTCTATATTATATATCAAGAATGATTTTAAGAAAATTAATGAATTAGTAAATAAAAATGAGATGTATATATTAACATGGCTGTTATATTTATAAAGTAAATATAAAGAATAAATACAATGAGAAGAATTACGTTACCATTAATATCACTAAACATCATCATAATTATTTGAAATATTTATAATAGAATAAACGTAATAATTATAGGAGTGTGTAAGATCGTCGGAACGGGAATGTTTTTCGGGATCGGGATGGGATTTTGAAACTTTTGAGATTCCCGAGAGTGTTCAGGATTTCTAAAAATGTCAGAGTAGTCAAGTAGAATGTATGTTTTGTTGAATATGGTCGTAGTTTAGATTTTTTATTTCTGTTGTTGAGTTTCACTTTACAAAATTTTCTGTTTTATTATAAATCATACAGCAGGCTCTTTTACTATAGATAAAGACAGAAAAGTAAAAATATTGTATATATTTCGGAGAAAATTCAGAAATACTAATATTATATATTGATGGAAAAATAATATTAAAAGATTCCGTACAGTATCAGAAGATATCTCGAAGATTCTCGGGAATCACGAAATTTTCGGGATCGCGTTCCAACCAGATCCGCGTCTTCCAAGCATCCAATCCCGTCCCAAGCATCGAAAATTTTAAGATTCCGCATATTTCTAAATAATTAGTGCCTCACAGTAGAAAACGTAAGTCTTAAAACAAACTGATTCAATTTCTGTGATGTTTATCTGTGATCTAATCCTAATTTTATAAGGAGCTGAAATACAAGTTTACATACATTGAACTGGCAAGTTGCACGGTTACAAGGTTAACATATATTATTCTAAATACATGACAAATGTCATTATTGTATTTGTCGAATGTTTGAATTCGCAGAAGTTAAAGATTCCATATCGATTTTATTAGATTTTCCACTATTAGCGCGATGATATAACATAAAAGTCGTAATTAGTTTAGCCGATTGTGTTTGTTTCATACATCTCGTATTTTATTTGCAAGCGCGCGTCTAGCTTCCCGATTTTAAACAAATAACACTATAAAATTAAGTTTAATAATTTGAAAATAATTAATTAATATAATTCAATATCCCCAACACCGATCCAAATTAATTGATGATAAATTAACCGATTAAATTACTAATGATAAATCGGACCATATTGTCCTTTTCTAGAGCCAGAAGATCATTTAAGTTTAATTTTTAATATCATATTATTTTAAAAATAATTTTTTGCTCCTGAAAAAAATCTACAGGCATAAGTTGCTTAAAAGAAAACGAACATATACGTACAAATTTGAGTTACGAACGTCTCGCGACGGACGGCAACGAACGCGGCTTCCGCTTAGACGTTAATATATTCTTTATTACGGGAAGGGATGATGATTCGTCAAGAAGCCGGCGCGTAATTCGATGAGCTGATGGTGAATTAAAGTAATAAAAACGTCAGCTTCCTGTATAATATGTAAATTATATTATATTTATGTATAGGATGCCATTTTAATAATAAATTTTATAAAATTATAATAAAATATCTATTACTATAAGAAATATGCATGTACTATATAAAGTATGTTATTTTTCTGATGTCTTAATGATTGTAGGAATGTGAAATATGCATTAAATAAATCAACCTGAGGCCAATAAAGTTTTAAAGAATAATTTAAAAAAAATAAAAGTAAATTCTACACATACGCAAATATTAATTTTTGTAATTATGTATTATACTTCAGATATAAAATAACGTAAGATATAAAATATATAACACAAGATATTAAAAGGTATTAACGGCTCACATTTAATGTATATGTATAAATGAAAT